TTATTGGGCCCTGAACGGTGCTGATTTTACACTGTTTTCAATGGGGCTTGAATTAGTGGACTGGACCCTATATTTCAAAATGGCGGTGTCCAGGCAGTAGTGGCAGCTGGGTTTAAAAATCATCCCTGTTGTTTATGTTGGTCCTGGCAGTGGTGGAGCCACAACTAGCCATGAATAAAAGTTTTATGGATTATGAGACATCAGAGATACTGGATTGTCGAACACGATAAATATCCAGGTAATTGCATGAGGAACATGTAACTTTGTAATTTTTTGTGCGAGTCGGTTTCATGAAATTCTTTGATTAGGATGGACTGAATGAAACCTAGAAAAGTTGGATCCAACCCTAACAGAGCGTAACCCCAGCCGATGCCAACCCTAATGAAGGCTAACCCTAACAGAAGCCAACCCCAAATTGGGGGGGGGGCGGTTCAATTTTAGATGGTCAAGCTTACAGCCTTGGTACCAACTGAGTAATTCGTGGATATGCACAGGTGACTCAAATTTTTTGAGACACTCTCCTTTGTGATTTGTTCCACTCTTGTGTTGGCAGTGCCCTATTTTGGGCTCACGTTTTCAACCCTTGGACTAGAGCCTGTCAACTGGAGTAACATCTACGGTGAGCTTCCATGTTAAAGCATGACCAAAGTTTGATGTCTTGCGTGCACTTGGCCTCTGCATATCGCAGTGTCTAGCCAAGGTAACCCTCCCCATTATCAGTAGGAACAGCTAGGAACAGTTGGTGGAAGCTGCTTCATGTGAAAAAGTGTAATTTTGAGATGCTTACTGCATAATGTGTTTCCACTAGTAGTGTAGATAGGCAGTCTGCAGTAGTTTGCGCACATTCGCTATAGGTTGACCTTGAGCATTTTCTCCCCATTAAACAGCCAATAGACATTTTTTTAAATTTTTCTCTGGAGGTTGAGGTTTTTGATGCATTCTCAACCATTCGGTGTTGTTTGGTGTCTAACATTTGTGACCGGGTGGCTCCACTAATAAAAACTCTATGGCATTAGAAACGGCATAAAAAAAGTTATGTACAGGTAGTTTATTCAAAGGTCCTACTTACCACGTGCACCTGGACTGGCCGTTCATGCCTTTATGATTCATGTGCGGCAAAAATGATAGCAAGTGCTGCACAAAATCTGTGTAGATGCACGAGCAAACAGATCGACGTGCGGTAGCTGTGCTAGCTGGATCGAAATCAGCCTTCTCCTACTGTGTCACTTTACAAGTTAACCCAACGACGCCCAAGAATGCCCGGTACGCAGCTGACACCCAAGAATGCCCGGTATTGAATTTAAACAAAAGAACGACAATTAAATTTTGGAGACGCGCGCAGTAACAAAAAAAGTTTTGTGAATCGCCAGAGGGCGCTATAAATATTTGGGCACAAGCGATCGAAAAAGGCCGGAGCGCCGCCGCGCCGCGCAAAGTACAGTACATGTACATGTACATGTACATGCACTATGGCGTACACGTACAGAAAGGTGGAGCGTGACTAAAAACAGAAGAAACATTAGCAGGAACCGGTGTCGGGTAAGAGTAAAGAATACGAAAACTCGACCTGGTTACACATTGAAAAATGGGTGTATATAAAGGGTGCAGACCATAACTCAAGTGACAGTTTCCGGCATTAGCATTAAAAGTACCCCCACTGTATCTTTGAAAAAGGAGATTGTTTGGCCCCCAAATTGGTGAAATTGTGTAAATCCTTGCCAGGATCAACTCCTTGGGTCTTTAAGCTTTCATATGAGAGCAGAATGGCTAAAAACTACGGTTGAAAAATGGTCCTAAGTGCCCGAGAAAGTTGAGGGTTGCAACTTGAAAAATGGCTGCAATCAGACTTCGGAAAAATCTCTTTTTGAGTGGTGATTTTGTTTTGTGGGAGTATTTAAAATGTAATTGGTTAACCCTCAAAAAATTGAAAAGAAATTGAAAGATTAGTGACCAGAAAAAAATTTCATTTGTGTTTCAGAAATCTCAGGGATGTTGGCGTGCATGTTATTGGGCCCTGAAGAGTGCTGATTTTACACTGTTTTCAATGGGGCTTGAATTGGTGGACTGTACCCATATATGTTGGTTATATGTTGTTAAGTCACACTCTCTAACACTAATGGTCACGGGTGATAATTGTCTTCATTAGCAATAACCCCCCCCCCCTTNACTCTCTAACACTAATGGTCACGGGTGATAATTGTCTTCATTAGCAATAACCCCCCCCCCTTTTTGCAACCGAAGCAGTGAGTAGATCAGAGAAATATGGAAGGGCTGCGTAGCACCGTGATCAGAATATCAACAAGAATATAAGATTAAATCAGTGCTCTGAAATATGATTTCCGAGCTTTTGGTAACTGAGTACCTTCTTCAGGGCAAGCAGATAATTGAGTACCTTCTTCAGGGCAAGCAGATTCACTGAATCTGCTTGCCCCAAGAATCTGCCTGAAGAAGGTACTCAGTTACCAAAAGCTCGGAAATCATATATTTGAGACGTAGAGACGTGCGAAATGAAGTTGAAGAATAAGCTTTGAAAGAGAGAGTAATTCCAACCCTTCAGCAGCTTAGAAAATTATAAGCCTTCAAGGTCAGAGACGATTTTAAGATAAGGAATCAACTGTCATCATGACAAAAACGTGCAAAGTTGATCAGCACATATTATCATGATTATAGTAACGATAAGGAACTCTGACAAAAAGGTCAGGTGCTTTCAGTCACTCCAAATGGATAAACTCAAGCTGTACGAAACGGGGTTAAAAATCTACCCAAACAGACTCTTTCAAGGGAAAAGAAACAGTTCTTAGAAAACTAACCACCGTCTACGTCATCCTTCATACTTCCGCGCACTCAAAAGTTTGGACCCTATCAATGAACTTTTCAACCCACCACTAAACGCCGATCCACTAGTAATCACTGGAAATACTGTTGCGTCAGCCCTTGTTACGGTTGATGGCCAAATTTGGGAACAGCGTTACCAAATATGGCATGCGGCTGGGTCGGCTTGCCTTGATATTCAAATGAAAAGATTGCGTCATGTCGGCTGTATGTCGCAATCACGGTAGTGGTCCGATGTCGATTCACGCAGTGAAATTTCGCGCAAAGAAAGCAGTGCCCCGAATAAATTTACAAAATCGAATCTGTGAGAATCTGATGTTCGTTATTTTCTCCAGCAAATTAGACAAGATACATATTACTGCGGATATGATTGCGTTTTGAATTAATCTGCTCTTAGAGTGACGACGTACGTCATGGGAAAACGGAATGTGCGGATAAATATATACTAATATTCCCTGATGGCCGTGAGCCAGACTGATTGACTGTGTCGTGCGCGACGTGTATTTTTGTATGCACTCGCGATTGTGGTCAGCTAGCGCTGTAGCTACATGTACGTGGTGGTCTTATATCAAATACACGTACAACTGCACTAGTAAATTAACTAGACTTCATATCTAACTGGCGAGCAAAATGGCACCGACGCATCTGAGCAGTACTTCTCGCCTTTGAGCGGGATTGGCGCACATCTGGGCCAACCCAGCGTTGGCTGTTTGCGGAGTTCCTGCTAGTAACTACTGCAGATCATCTGTGACCAAAAGATCAGTCCATACCTGCTCGCGAGAACCATCGAAAATCACCAGTGTTAGTTTGGAAGCAGGACCCGATTTGGCCCGGGAACTCGCTCGGTTGTCATTGTCGCTGTGTACGTGGTGGGGAGGTAACGCGGATTGCGTCATCAAATTTGTTGGGAGTCAGTCATCAACAGCTCACTGCGAACTGAAATACTCTTCACGTGTGCCTGTGTTGTGAAATAACAACACTAAATGTCATATTTATGACGAGTGAACGAATTCCACGTCTTTAAGCATCAATACTGAAATATTTTCTTCCTCAGGCAGAACTGAACTGCTGAGCAGTTTCAAGTTATTCCACCGTGGCCAAAAATATACATCATGCCTGAGTCTCTTCGTACCTGATCGTGCATATGTACACACACGTAGGCCTACACGTACAGTGTACATGTACAGATAGACTCTGAAGACTTCTATTTTCTCAGGAAATGTCGGACTTGTAGTTTTATTCTTTGCTTGTAAATAGTGTACAGATTCGTATTTTATCACGAACTTTCAAGGACTGCTTTACCCGATTGTAGGCGCAGAACTCCAGTTGACCGTTGTACGACTACATGTAGGATTACGTGGCTTAGCCTAGGCTCCATTGTCATTCTGTGGATGGGATATTGACCTTTGTTTGTCTCGTGACTAAATCTGAACAGGCATTTCACAATCAACTGTCACCCGCTCTTGCCCTGGACTTTCGCAAAAGGTTATTGCAGGTTAACCCTGAAGTCTTCCATGTGATAGGTATTACCCAACATTACATCAATATCATCTTCACTCGTGGACTTCAACTAGTTTGCAAGTTTGGCTTTGAGGACTTTGGCGTTGACTTGACACAGCTTCATTTGTTGGGGTCAGGTAACTAGTTACTGAGCGATTTTTTTTTCAACGGTGAGGCCGATGAACGTTCAACGCTCTCTCCCCATTCCGATCCAAAATGATCGGAGTCGGAGAAAAGCGTTTGTGCATTTGGACACACCACCCGATTTAACCAATTCATATTGCAGTTTCAGTCCGAATTTATCGGCACCTACCCCACCGAATTTTGTACCCAAGGAACCTCATGTCCTGTCAAAGATCGGTGGTTATCTTCTTACTGAGGAAACTGAGTTGAGTGTGTTCCGTGCACTGGATGCAGTTACTCACGAAGAAACAAAATGCAAAGTAAGTATAGGTCTACAATATTTCTCTTCAAAAGCTTTAAATTTCTTTTTCCCATTTGGAATTTTAGTCATGTTTACAATGGAAGTCATAGGAGCTATTTTGGCTGTAGGCCTATTTATTATGGTTTATTTGCCTACGAGCATGTTTTTTGCTCACTTAAATGTTAATTTCTCATGTGCCATTTTCTGATTTCACTCTGCAGGTTGTGGAGGCAAAGAAGTACACAGAGAAGTTTGCGCCAAACTTCAAGCTTGAGCCACATGACAATATATCCCAGATCCAAGAAGTGCTCATTGGAGAAGAGAAGGCTTACGCTTTCTTCCTGCGTGACTATGGTGATATGCACCAGTATGTTCGCAGCAAGCGTAAGCTGAAAGAAGAGGAGGCAAGCAGGCTCTTCTATCAGATGGTATTGGCTGTTGTTCACTGCCATGAAGCGGGCATTGTGCTGCGAGATCTTAAGCTACGCAAGTTCACCTTTAAAAATGCTCAAAGGTAAGTGACTTGAGAACAACTGTAGCTTGTCCTTGTCTGAGTAATTGTCCTTTGCTTTTGCTCCATGTTACTATAATTGGTGTCGCGGCACATATTCAAAAAAGCTTGCATCCTGAAATAGTAACTGCCTGGGAAATTGAATTAACTATGACTGACGCATGAGGAAAGAATCAATCATGTTGTATAGACCACAAGCTTATAAACGAAAGTGTCTCTTCGTGTACTACTGGTCATTCACTTCTTGTCGAACAGTTTACTGGTAACATGCTCTTTTGGTAAACGTATGTGGCATTATTAATTTAATTCATAATAAATATTTTGAGTTCGTTCTGAAGCAGAGTCTATCTAGACATTTAAAAAGATTTTTTTTTTCAGTTGTTTCAGTTGACTTAAGCCTCAATAGATGCCAATGCTCAAATTTACGCCTGATCTAGGGATGGAAGTCATAACATGCATTTACAGGTATCATGCAAAAAAAACAAACAACTAATAATAAAAACTGACGTATGGATTATAAAAAAAGGGAACTTAAATTATTTATAAACAAATAATTGTATGAGCATAAACTTGAGTAAATACATGCATGTACATTTAAGTTAATTCAGTGTAAAACTGGCTAAACCTGTGGCAGTTTACATGTACATAGTTGAGTTATGAGTGCGAAGAACTTCTGTGAATCGAATTCAATGTAAGCGCCTCAAACACATCACACATTTCATGGAGTCAGTTGTAGGCAGTTGAAATCCTTGAAACATAGCCTTGCTTCGTTACCTCCATCCAGTTCTGTGGAACATGCATGACGTGTGTGGGAGCAGGTCTGGTTCGGCATTCTGGCACATGGAGAGCATTACCAATCAATTTATGACTAAAACCTAGTTTTGAAAGAGGAATCCCCTTTTTCAGCTCAAACTCAAACAGCTACTAACCCCTTTAATGAGGAAGGATCCAAGGTTTTTAAACATTGCATTATTTCAAAATTTGATGTACATGCGCGTAAAAGTTTTCTTTGTCATCATTGTCATGTCAAAAGTTAGATTTTCTTTCTCTTTTTCCTCTCAGAACGGAACTCATGCTAGAGGGTCTTGAAGATGCTTACATTCTTGACAACAGTAATCGCGATCTACTCTGTGATAAACATGGCTGCCCAGCATATGTTAGCCCCGAGATTCTAAACAGTGAACCTTGCTACTCTGGTAAGTGTGCCGACGTGTGGAGTCTGGGAGTTATCCTGTATACAATGCTTGTTGGGCGCTACCCATTTCATGACACGGAGCCCAGTTCATTGTTCACAAAGATCCGACGTGGGAAGTTCACTGTGCCTGATTTTGTGTCATCTCAGGCTAAATGTCTTTTACGTAGCATCATGCGTGTTGAGCCAGCAGAGCGTCTTACAGCGGAAGAGGTTCTTCATCATCCATGGTTTCGTCAAAACACTGGCGTAATCAATCCATTCCTGGATTCTAGTAAAATGCTTGACCAGACGGTTCCAGATTTCTCATTGCCAGAAAGTGATGACATTTTCTTATAGCTAATTCTTTTTGTTATAAAGGTGGAAATTGAACAAGGTTGTGAATTTCATTACATCTGATTGTTTGAGCAAATGCAAGTGCTTCTAGGACCACATGAGCTGTAAGATCTTTGAGAAGTGATGTTCATTTTCTTTAACCATAGTTCAAAGTTTGGTTTGTTTTACTTCATAGCTTGACGTTTTTGGCAGAAAGCATATGTTAATTTTACGTGACATTTTCATTTCTTAATCACAACACACATAAATGGATTAAGCCTGTCTGGAATGAGGTACAGTATACATGTGCATCCATATGTGCAGTACAGAACATTTTCAGTGATTTTAAACAGTTTAGTCAACATTCAAATATTAGTCCATTGCCCTAAAATAGTCAACAATTCTAGAAGTTTGTGGTTTATTTTTGTTGTTCGGCAGAATTCTCCAGATGTTGGCCTACAGTTTATGAATAAACTTAGTCACTGTGTAGCATCCACATGCACAATTCTTGAACAAAGAAATTTTTGCAGATTTTTATGTTGACTAGACTTGGAGTAGATCCGTTTTTCTTGAATTATGGGTCGGTCTATCGTATTGTAATACAATTTTTTACTCTATACTGGTTTTTTTGGGGGGGTGGGGGAGTCCTGTTGCAATGTACATGTAATAAATTTCAGATCACTCAGATTATCTAAACATAAGGATTTAGAAGTTGCTGTTTGAAGCAATTAAATGTACAGTTGAACCTCGGTAATAAGAGGTCCTTTGGACGTGCAAGATTACCTTTATTTACAGGAAGCTTGTATTTGAACGAATGAAAAAAATGTTGAACAAAAGATTCAGACTTAAATGAGTTATGAGCAGACTAGCGCCATGGATGACACAGATATTGACAAATGGGAAGAGCCACCAACGTAGGGCTGGACGGCTCAGTTGGTAGAGCACTGGTACAGTTTTCCAAAGGTCATAGGTTCAGATCCCACTTTAGTAAATTTCTTTGTACATGTAATTACTTATACACTCCTTGTCAAGTTCCCTGCATACATGTACATTGTATTTTGTTTCATGATCAGTGCTCTTATTAATGAGGTTTGACTGCGTTTAAATTAAAGGACTCGTTATCAAGATCAGAAGAATCAGAAAATAGCTAGATATAAATGTCTTTCCTGATCTTTTTTTTATTTGTGGCTCTTCTATGAAAACAACTGCAACAAATCATAGTTTCACACCTGAAATTTCAAGTGACGGATTTACATGAATGCGAAAGCATCTGAAATTCATGCATTTCTGGCCATTCTTTAAATACATTATTGCCGAGTTAATTCCAAGAAATCATTTGGATTTCTAATTCAGTATAACAGGTCAAAACATTACTAGGATTATTAAATTACATTATTAAACTTGCATGTGTAAATTTCTCGAAATACATGTACGTCCATGGCCAGATAAGTGTTCTCACTTTTCTGAAACCCCAGTCCATTTTAGGTGCCCTATGTCCTTGATGAAAATGATGATCGGACCTCATTGTAACCCATTCTCGCTGCACATACCGAATTTGTATAAAACATTTTATTTACATAGGCCTAAATCAAATTCACCACCAAGCAGCTTTTATTTCTCTCAGTTGTACATTTTGTAACTATGTATACATAAAAAAGTCATGTAAATTTCTAGTGTACGCTCCAGTGGGAAAAATGGAATTTTATGCTGTGCATAAAAATCTAGTTGGTATGGTGTTTACATCCCCATAAATTCTTCATTTGTTTGTTTAAAATTAATGTAGGTGTACAAATGTTTGTTTGAATAAAAGGTTTTACTTAACTTTCCACTGCCAAATAAATGTGTCAAAAACTGATAGTTTGTGCTTTCTTTTTATGTTACAGCTGCTTTGTTTATTATTTTGTTTTTCAGTTTGATTAGAAACTGAAATTTGAACGATGCTGCAGTGTACATATATTGGCTTTGGGGGATCCTTTTTCAAGGCAATTATTTGGAGCAGGCAGATTGTCTTGAACAGTGGCATAACAAGGTACTTGCTGTTTCAAGGAATTACCTGTACAGAAGGCTGTCTGAAGACAACAGTGAAAACATCTGCAGAAGCAGAGAAAAAGACGGTAGAATTTGTGCCCTGTTCATTTCCAAAGGGCAGCTCTAGCTCGTCTGGGATGCGCAGGGCACAAAGGTGAGAATTTGTTTGTGAGTTTGTCTCCCAGTGGGAGCTCGAGGTAAAACAAATTCACGTACGTTGTACAATGTACATGGGCCGCCCACGATGCACGATGCGCCGCCTTCCATCGTTTTCCACACTCTGTCGTTATTATGGGGATCAATTTTTGCCCATGCTTGTTAGAATCATAATTAACAACTACTCTAACGAGTGCATGTATACACGCAAGACTGGCGGTATGAGTATGGAGGACGGACACCAGGAGTTTGAAGTGCCCGGGCTATCGTGGCGTGTCCGGTATGTCTGCTAAAGCACAGTAAGCCATTGTTATGTCCGTTTCATAAATCATGAGACCCCTAGGAACCATTATTGCCGCAACTTTCCGCTGATACTCTCCGTCCTTATAACTGAATATTCATAATTATCTTCATTGGCGATGGTACGATCTCACAATATCGAATTTAACGCTTGCGCGCGGTTGCTTGTGTAAGGCCGCCGCGTGTGTACTTTACTACGGCATCGGCTCAAAAGTGTGTTTCATTAGATCTCGTGATTGTGATAAAACAACGTATTTTGCATGTTATGAACTGAGCTTTCCAGTGGCGGTCAACAGTCTCAGCCAAATTAGTACCAAGTCTTTGAAAACTACTATTTTGGAAGGAAAGAGAACTACAAACATTGCGTGGATTATGGAATGGCGGATCAAAATTTTAAAAAGTTTGTAATGACAAAGGTAGGGGCTTAGGCGTTTTCTCTCTGTTCCCTGGATTAGTTAATTGCGTAGTGATGAAGGTCATTACCATGAGCAAGTTGACAAACGGTTAAAAGTTGTTCTGAAACATTCCTGAGCTAAATGTGGCCAAAACAAAGGAAGTAATAACTGATTTCAGGTCTGGGAATCATGATGTCATGCCTCTTTGCATCAGTGGGAAAGAGGTGGAAAGGACTTTTTATTTTAAATTCTTTGGGATGGGATGAACATGTAAACTACTGTGTCAGGAAGGCTCAACAGCGATTGTATTTTCTTCGCCGTTCAAGAAGTTTTGGGTTAGTAATGACATTCTTATGTTTTTACGTACTGTAACTGAAAGTGTTGCAGGCAGTATTTTCGTCTGACTGGGTGGAAATGATGCTGAATGGTACGATCACTTGGAGCAGCCAGTGTTGTAACCTAGGTGACCAGATGAAAATGGCGCAAGTGCTAAAGATGCTCTTCAAAATTCTGGTAAATT